GGCTTGGTACAGCTCAGGTAGAATAATAGTAATAATAATGGCAGCTTGACTTGCCATACACAACGTGATCGATCTAAGTGAGCACTTCAGGGAAACCAAAAATATTTAAGGTGATTTTGAGATATATTAACATGATCATATATATTATCTAGAATAAAAGAGACAATATCCTGGTCTATTCTACATTAACCAGACTGCAAAGGAAAACTGTGGTTGGTTTTAGATGTCACCATTCAAGAAGGATATGGACTAGGTGTCTCAATCTATGGCACATATCTGAGCTTTGATGGTGGTGAAGTTTCAATCTCCTGACAGTTTAAACAAAATCAAGTGTTTATTGGAACATGTGTATTTATCTATGGATAAATCATACATATTTTTATCTAATTATTGAAAGAGGTTCACAGTTCCCCCAATTTAAGGGCCATAGAAAGAGAGAGTAATTAAATGCTGGGTTGAATGGTGGCCTCCAACAAGATACGGCCATGTCTTATTCCCCAAAACTACGACTATGACCGTATTTGGAGAAATGGTCTTTGCAGATGTAGGTAAATCAAAGATTCTGTGATGATCATCCTGGATTATCAGGGTGGGGCTTATATCCAATGATAAGTTTTATTATAAGAGACACAAAAAGAGGGACATGCAGTGAGGAGAAGGCCATGTGAAGACAGAGGCAAACACTGGATTTATGCAGCCACAAGACAAGGAACACCTGGGGCCACCAGAAGACGGAAGAAGCAAGGAACAAATTCTCTAGAACCCCGAAGGTGTGCAGCCCTGCTGACCCTTTGATTTTGGACTCTGGCTGCCAGAACTGTGAGAAAATAAACATCTGTTCTTTTAAGCCACCTAATATGTGGTAGTGTTACACAGCAGCCACAAGAAACTAATACAGATGGCAATGCGATTCAAGACCAGTTTTCAGCTCTTTCCAAGAAGTGGTGTAAGGACTATGGCTGATTAACCTGAACCTAGGAAAAGTCAGAAGAGGGAAGAACAATAGGTGGACATTCTAGGGAGATCTCTGGAGTGTAAAAAAAAAAACAAAAAATAAAAGTGTGAAAGTTTACAAAATGGAAGGGAAAAAAGTTGCCTATAGGGACAGGGGACGCTCGAGAGTTAGCAAGCATAGAACTTTAAGCGCAGGCTTGATCACTTCCCAGGGCTGAAATTGAACAGAATGCAAGCATCATCCAGGTGCAGAGCCCAACTGACCCTGAGGCTCTGAAGATGTCCATGTCGTTGGTCTCCTAACTCTTTGTGATGTCCATGTCTGATTTCTGAATGCTCATTTCAAGACCGAACACAAGAATCGATTGGTCAGAACTCGCGGACTCGTTCAGATTTTTCTCTTCGTAATCTTGGCAGATACAGTCCTTTCCTGTACATTTCTTTGGCTCCTATCCCAGATTTCCTTACACTGTGTTCCCCAGGTCTTTCCCCAAACTGTAAATTGGTACACTAATATTTTCATTTGGGACTGTGCTAGTCTGCTCTTTCATGAGATTACTTTCATACATCAGACACAAAATTTTAATTACTTAAACACTGTTAGGATTATGAGCTTTGCTCTTTTTATCAATGGGACCCAACTAAGACCAGTGGGGGTAAAACCCTTTAGCAACTTTCAGAAATTAAAGTACTCCTCATCTTTCTATCTATTCTTAGTTCTGGGAAGAGTAAGTTCATTGAGAGCCACACATTGTGACTCACAGACATGGTCTCTCTTTTGTTCAATATCACATTCATTCATTCTGCTTCTGATTAGAGCTACAGAAGCTGAAGACATGGCAGAGGCATAGCAAAATAAGCAGGAGATAAAATAAGGACTAATTCATATTCAAGCATTTCTCTTCCTTTTTCATAAATACCAGAGGAACATATATTAAAATTTACAACAAGATCTATGGAAGTGAAAACCTGATGAGAAATCGGAGTGACCATCATCAGAAACCAGGGGTGATACACACTGAGAAGGTCCACTTGGTCCCGAAGTGGGAAAACAGAAAGCCCATACTGCTTCTAATTAATAATAATAATAAAATAATAAACAAATATCACATTCTCAGAAAATAGTTTCTCGCTCACTGGAAATACTTCTCTAATGTTAAGGAGCCCATTACCAACAAAATAGGTACAGCACACTCCTCATATTAGTAATACCTTTATTTGGGGGGGGGGGTTTGTATTGATTGAAGATTAAAACCCAACAGATGGGTAAGTTGGAAGAACTAAAGGCATGGAGCATCTTTAAAAGGATAATATGATTCCCAAATCAGGTGCTACGTCTTTCAGATAGTCTCCTGTGTGTGATTCCTCTGGCAACACTGAGTTCTTTCTTTAGGAGCCAGAAGCTCAAATGGTCCTATTATCCGTATGTCAGAGGTTCTCATCAGAATTAACCAGAGGGCCTGTAAAAGAAAGATTGTCCCACCCCCAGAGTTTCTGATTAGTGCAGTTGGGTTGCCTAAGATTTTCATTTCTTGTAAGTCCCAGGTGATGCTGATATTGCTGGCCCTAGGACTATACTTTGAGAAGCACTGCTCTAGACCACCTATCCAGAATTTCTTAACTTTCTTGCATCTTTGCTCAAATTTTTGTCAACCAATTAGAAAACTCCTTAAGGCTGGGAATACTTC